TAAACAAGAGCAAAGTTAAATCTCGTTTGAAAATGTTAAGGGGTTGGTGTGAAAATCATACCGTTAACATTCGTCATGTTCATTCCAACTAGAAGTAGATTTTCAGGATGTAGATACGTTTGTCGTTTGTCTTAAAAATCAGAGTTGTCATTTCTGTGAATACCGATGACTTATAAAAAGAGTGATTTCAAAAAGACGTTGGTGAATAACCGAGTGCTTCATAAAGTTTGACAGAAAAAGTTTTGGAGAAAATGAAAAGTACTTTTTGAGAATAAGAACCAATATTAGAGACCAGTAAACAATAAAAAGTGTTTCTCAAATAAGTAAGGGGTCGTTTACCAAATGCTTACTTGGATAAGTGAACATCAAGTCACGTTATCTTATCTGATGAATATGGTATGGACCATGAATCAAGTCACGTTATCTTATCTGATGAATATGGTATGGACCATGAATCTTAGCTAATTGGAGACATCTTTCATACTTTAAAGATGGCTTCAGTTAATGGGTTTTAGTGACACCAGTTCATAACCTACACTTTATATAGGACTTGGTTTATGTTTTGTTGGTGTTGAATCTTAGATTGTCATTCTAGTTAATCAAGTGTTGATTTATAGAACGAAATTTGTTCATTATTTGATGTATTATAAAAAAATCATAAATTAGTCACTCTTTTCAGAGTTGAGGTATTATCTCCACCAAGGAGTACCTTATATCACACACTAGATTCCTGACACAAATTCTTGTGCGATCCTACATTTCTTGTATTGCCTTAACATACGTTCACGGTATTCCTTCTCTCCTCCACATGACACTTTATTATAGGTTTTCCGAGGGGTCCTTTATCCAAACGCATACCTAATAAACGCTTACCAGTGACTCATTTATCGTACCGCATAAGATTCTACTCAATAAAAAAGCGACATTGTATGCAATAATTTACTCGGTAAGTGCAAACCGAATAAGAGTCGTCACCCTCATTTACCGAGTAAGATTTTAGGTCTTTGTCATGTACATTCGATAAAGTAAACTGACCAGGTAAGCAATTGGTAAACGACTTCTAGGTTTAAAATAAATTTAATTAATTTTGTACTTTATATAATGAGTTCTTAAAAAATTATTATAATTGTTACGAGATTGATGATTTAAAAAGTTAAAAATGCAAATAAATTGTTAAATAATTTAATATTTCTGATGGGTTTGACCCTGACCCTGACCCCTCCTAATTGGATTTGGACCAAACTGGGCTTGGCCCTTCTAACTAGACCAGAATATTTAAAGTTTACCTAAACCATGATGCATATCTATACTATTTTATTAAGCAAATTTAGCAAAAGTCTTAAAGTCTTAAAATACTAAATAACCAATATATCCTTTTCACTTTTTCACTCATTCCTCTCCTCACATACACTCACCCTCTCACATTCAACCGATTTTTTTTAATTATAATTTTAAATTTACCTTTTATATCCCTATAATTAGTTAATTAATTACTTTACGTTCTTTACTTTTAAATGTTTCATTTTAAATCTTTATCAAATTAACATACATAATCGTATATCAATTCAAACATGTTTAAAAAATACATTTTTATTTTAACAAGTTACACCATTATAATCGTCTCGTTAATACCTTCGAAATAAGTCCAATATTGAATAATTTTTTACTTAATTATACTATTATATATTATATATACTGTGAATTTTTTTTAATGTTTACGATTTATATTTTTATAGTTATTTATTTATATATATATATATATATATATAT